GTTGGCATTCAGATCAATGTACGTGTATTGTTATGAACACTAAACAGTAATATCAATCCGAATAAATTTAAATAAGGAAACTTTTATATACACTTACTGTTGACATCAGAGTTAGGATGTAATGATCGAGATTAGGGCCGTGGTAGTTAGCCATTTGACTGTCTGCGACCACAAGTACTTCTAAATGAAGCTCCCTGGATTCAGATCTGCGTTTGCGAATGAGAGGCCTTGACGAATTCGATATAGAAGTTTCATCCCTATTCAATAACGTCTCTTGTTTTTCATGATCCATTGACTCATCTGTAAAATTAAAATTACTTTAGTAAATTTTGAAACAAATAAAAGTAGATAAAATGAAATGAAATTTTATTACTCTTAAGAGCTGTAGCAATGTTACATGTAGAAGTATTTTGAATATTGATATTAAACGAGCTCAATAGTACACACTAAACAAGGAAAACTGTATTATTTTCAAAATCAAAGACACAAATGCATAAAAAAAACTACCATCTCAAACACAAGAAAAAAAATTCAGTTAACTAAAAGACTCGAGTGTAATTAATAAATAAATGAACCTCTACACTGAAATATTAAAACTAAGAAAAAGTGAGACTCTTACAACTTCAAGGTTTATCTAAAAATTGTTAGCATGTTCGCGGACATCTAGTTTAGTGGCATATGTCGCAAATTTAAGTACAACGAACGTGTTAATCATTGAAATTTTAAATTCGAGTTAAATGTATCATTTAACCAGACTATCTAAAAAGTCAGTTAAATAGCAATTATTTTTTAGATCTGTTGCTTGAGTAAGCAAAATGTCTCAAAAAATAAGCCTTTATAAAAAAATATTTAAAAAGTTTTTAAAAAAATTTACTCCAATCCAAGATATAAATTTTATAACATTATGAGAAAATACCCTTCCTTAAAATATTTAAAATTTCATTCTACACTTTTCCTGATCGATATTTTACTTAACTAGCTTATTTAACGAGCTCCTATCGATATTCTGCTATTACCCAATTATTATTACACATTAAAATTATATGTATATAAACATAAAGACAATTTTTTTAATGTAACTATTTTGCAAGAAAAAATTACACCATTTCACTAGACAAAGAAACGAGAGAGAGAGAACTCTACTTTATAAAACAACTATTAAATATATATTAATTACTAAAAATAACAAATTTTTCCAGATTGGCTTAACTATCGCGTCCACATAATATATATATATATATATATATATATATATATTAGTTCAGATTTTTAATCGTTAAAAAATACTTTCTATTCATCTACTCTTCAAATACATTTTTTTAAAACTTGTAGTGGATGACACATGATGTAAATACGTTTTTTTCAAATATTAATACATCAATTAAATTAAAAAATGAATAAATAGTAAACAAAAATCATAGGTCCAACAGCATATATAGAAAGTAAAATCGTTCGTTGTGTCCCTGCAGCGCATTGGATATCGCATTAGACTTCTAATCCAAAGATCATGGGTTCGAATCCTACCTGGGATGACCTAATTTCCGAGAACGTGATTTCTTTTTTACTGTACTATTTCATTGGAATAATTAAATTTAATTAATGAATAAATAGTAACAAAAAACAAATAGTCCAACACCCTATATAGAAAGGAAAGCAGAAAACTGCAAGGAAAATCGCTTTCTATTTTGCCAATTCATATTGTGTTCGTCAAATGTAGGTATATACATATTTATATTAATTGTAACTATTTAATAAAAAGTAACTAAAATAAAGTTTCTCTTTGTTGACCTAAGTAGGAATTGACTCAAAAATTTTTTTTATATTACTTGCTAAACATAAAAAAGCTCTGACAACGGTTATACGAATCCCATAATTTGGATATGAAACTAATGTCCACTCGTAACAAAACGCCTTATTCTAAATCTAAATCAATAAAAACAAATATAGTCATCAAAATGAATAATAGCTTCGTGAGATAGATTCGATATTGAAATCTTACAATAATCACGAGTATCTACTATTAACATGTGTGCCAAGATTAATACTAGGTTTTATCTCTCTTCTAACAAAACTGTCAACGTGATAATCATGGACAGAAAAAAATTAAGCCGTAAAACTGGATACCTAATGAGTAAAACAGGTGCACCTCGCTTAATATGCATCGCAGAACTGAGTTACAGGCCATAAAGATTAAGAAAGATGCGTGTTTTCATTCATGAATGGAATAAGGAACAATAATTTTGTCACGTCTGAGTAAGTCGTTCTGATACTGGTTGTGTAGCTTAGATTTTCCTCTCAGCTTCCATTCAGTAAGTCAGAAATAAAATGTGATTTTCTCCTCGTCTTTTTTTTAAAAAAAGGGCACACCAGTGTCATTTTAAAAAAACTTCCTTTTCACATTTTCAACTCTATTTTGCGTACCTTTTATTTGAAGTGTGTCAAGGGCGTATAGTGAAAAACCCGAAAACACTTAGCACATTTTAAGGTAATTATGAGAAAGTGATATTTAATGAATTATGCTCATTCTTTGTATGATAATGAGTTTTCTTTAAGTGCACATGTGTGCTTTACGAGGTAACGTTTAATGAATAACGTATGAGAAATATTATGTGTGGCGGTAATAAAGTGCTGACAAATTTAAGGTCATTCGACTTGACGATTTTTAAATAGAAGTGAGCTCAGATGAGTGCAACAAGTGCTATGGGAGAGAGTTTAATTGAGACAGAAATGAACAAGTAGAAGTGGTTAAGCGTGAAAGAAGTGAAACATCTGGAGATAGATTACAGTTAACTATTGAAATGATAACATAAGGAGTCATGAGATTAGTTTAAAATAAAAGTTATCAAAACAAGTTATGATCTGTGATGCCAGTTCATTTTATAATACCTCGTATACAGTTTTAATATTTGTACATTTTAAATGTGTTACCCTTTTTTATAAAATACATAAGCATTTTAGGTCAAAAACTCTTATTTTTAAAAGAAATTGTACTTTCAAACTACCATAACGAGTTAACACTAGATTGCCCAAGGAAGTCATTTTGACTGCTTTTTAATTTCAATTAGGAAAACAATTACGTATATAATGACAATTTCTTAGAATTTTTTAGAATATATTTTTTTCCCAAGTGAAGTAAATTTTTTTATTGTTGATATTTACTAATAACTTTTTATATGATTGTAAATAACATAAAAAATATTAAGAATTAACTTTAAACAAATTTTTTTACAGATTAGTTATTTTTTCAAAATGTAGTCATTTTGACTGCTTTGGGGCAATATAGGTATATACTAAGTTTCAGTCTTTATAGTGTAAACTGTGATTGACGAGTATCCTCGCCATGCGTAAAAAGTATTGACCATTGGCTATTTAAATTGTAATTTTGAGAAAAACAAGACATATATTCTCAAATTTCAAGATATTTAGAATATTTTGAGGCCAGGTCGGAGAAAAACAAATAAATAAAAAACAGGAAAAATTTTAAGATGAACTCATACATTCCCGTATGTCAGGAGTGGCGAACCTTTATGGATCAGCATGTCATTTTTTTCTGAAAAAAATGTTTAATGAGGTACAGATGTGCCATCAAATAATTTTAACGCGATTATTGGGAAAAATATAATAAAACTAAATATTAACAACTCAAAAATCTTTATTTACAACGAAACAATGCCTTTTTGCACTGTATTGTAATAAATGTTTTCGTCATACGTGTAATTCAAATTAAAGTAACATTAGTGTGATTTCTGTTATTACAGATTAGATGACAAAAAAAGTTATATTAAGATTGTAAGACAATAACAAACGAGTGTGCTGCTCCCCATGCACCGCGACCGATCACTCGCGTTTTTTCGTAATACTTCATAGTTAACTTTTTATTTTTTATTTTGAACTCTTATATAAACCGTTTTGATCGCTGGCGTGCCCAAAACATTGTGTCGCGTGCCATCAATGGCACGCGTGCCCTTGGTTCGCTATCCCTGCCGTATGAGCTGGCTGAAACAGCTTATAAGTTCACATAACGAATTTATTTAAGTGCGATGATAACGTTTTTTAGATGTTAGCCTAAAAAGGGCAAAGACAAAAGTCAGAAAGTTGATTCATAATAGGGTTCCTTCAGGCATGATCAACAATGGGACAAATGCAAGACGCCGACCAGTCGCTAAGCCCATTGCTAGCTTTCTTTGAAGCTATAATTTTACTTTCTTGGAACTGTAAAGAATTCAAAGAAGAATCAACACAAACTCGGTCATTTAAGACCTAATGTCATCTTGTTGGGCTGGGATTACCTGGAAACTTCCAAAACAAACAACCCTACGCAAAGGTATTCACACTGTTATAAAAGTAAGATCAGGAAGAAACCACACGTTACTAGTGATCCATTTACAGTGGCGTAGCTAGTCCTTAAGGGGCCCTGTATCGAAGATTCCTTGGGGGTCCTCTTTGGGCCTCTTAATAGTTTACGATTTTTTGCTTGCACGTATTGGAGCCCATGTAGCTTGGGGGCCCCGTATCACTGATACGTCTGATATGGCGGTAGCTACGCCCCTGTCCCTATAGTGCCCTGTTTTGGTGAATACCACTCCAGAGGAAAAATTTTAATTCTTATATTTATATGTAATTTCTCACATTTTTCGAGTACGTTTATGTAATATACGTTTATGTTAGACAAATAAGTATTAGTAATACATAAAATTAGCATTTTCATAAAATAAACCCATCTTTTGATCCAATATTTTAAAGTGACATTTACTCTGTCATTGACGAGTTTTCACGTTATCGCGTTATTTATTTATTTATATATCTTGTTCAAATTTTCAATCGTTGATAAAATACTTTCTATTCATCCATTCAAGTTCAAATACTTTTTTTTAAACTTGTAGGGGATGGCACTTAATAGTTTTTTCAATTATTAATTCATTAATTTAATTAAAAAATGAATAAATACTAACAAACAAAAGTAATAGCCGAACAGCATATGCAGAAACGAAAATCGTTGTGTCCCTGTAGCGCAATGGATAGCGCGTTGAACTTCTAATTCAAAGGTCGTGGGTTCGAATCCCACCTGAGTTGGACTAATTTCTGAGAATGTGATTTATTTTTTACTATACTATTTTATTTGAATAATTAAACCTAATTAATGAATAAATAGTAAAAAACAAAAAAGTAGTCTAACCGTGTATAGAAAGGAAAATTGAAAATTACGAGGAAAATCGCTTTCTCTATTTTCTCACTTAATAGTGTGATTCTGTCATATGTATATGCATATTTATATTAATTTCAACTATTTAATAAAAAAAAACTAAAATAAAATTTCTTTGTTGACCTAAGAAGGAAATGACTTAAAATTTTCCTTTTCATTACTTTTTAGATAGAAAAACAGTATTGAGTGGAAAAATTACCAATCAGATCAAAACGCATCATAGGCCGATGGCAAGCTTCATGTCCCAATTCATATTTTTGTTAATGCAATATGTTTATTTTCTCAAATTAGGAGTCTACTTCTATAATGGATTTCGTTTATAAATTAATTTCTATTATATAAATCCCCAGAGATCTAAAGTAAAAGTGAAGAATTTAAATTCATCTATACATTTTAATCTCAAAAAGTCTACCATTTTCAAAAAGTAAATAATTGTTCTTAATGTGTGTGCAACAAATAGGGTCTTTCTACAGCTGGTCCTTTATTTGAAGATAAAATACACTTATTTTATGATCAAAGTCAAGGATTTAAAAGCAATTGAAGTATTCATTGACAAATAATCAAAATATCCATAGAATTTTTAAAAATGTTTAGTTTTACAAACACCACCATGAATCAGCTGAATTCGAGAATATATTAATTTTTTCCGTCACGTTTAATTCCTATTCTTATTAAAAGTCGAAATTACTTTAAGCAAAAAATTTAACGAAAAATAACAAAAAATCATTAAAACTCTATATCTACAGTAGGAATAGATTTTCTAAGCAGAATAAAATAAAAATTTTAAAGTTTTGGATGCATTGAGCCCATTTTATAAAAGTGCGTAGCTAAGAGAAAGTATTATTTGCTAAGTTTTGGAAAGGAACAGCTTTATATTACTGCAGTCTAAACACTTAATACAGCGATCTATTCATCAAAATAAAATACAAAATTGAACAGCTATTATCAATACCTTAGGACAGAGTTTCTCAGACTGTGGGGCGCACCTCCTAAGGGAGCCTGATAACCTTACGTAGAAAGCACAAGCATATCAAAAAGTCGAAAATAAAAAAAATATATATAAATTTACTGAAAGGATGCAAATATCAAAATATATTCTGACATAATAAAAAAATAAAATACTCATTTACACCGATATAATATACTTATAAATGTATCAGTACTGCACAATGTATTTGTGATCCTTAACTCATCAATACTAAGTTAAAAACAAGTCTAATAATTACTAGGGGCTCCCATGGCCTTGTTATATACAAAATTATACATAAAATTTTATTCTTGATAGTTTGTATGGTTTATACAAAATCGTATTGAGCTTTAGCGTCTAAGTATATTATTATTGCATATTCAACACCACATTGTTATTGTAAGAAGGGGAGGGAGACGCTATGAAAATTATGATTGAAAATTGGGCCGCAAATATTGAAAGTTTGAGAAGCACTGCTTTAGGAAGAGTATCTTTTAGCTAAATAAGCTATACTGACTAATAAGCGATATATTACTATGTACTAATTTTATTCCAATTTTAGAAATCCTGAAGCATTTTATAGAATGTTTATGATAAAAAAAATTATAAAGTATATGATCCTAAAAACAGCTAAACTAAAAAGGTTCCGTTTCCAGTGCATGTGTTAAACTAGTTCACACACAGAATAAGCACTCCAATAGTACATCTCCCCCCTAATTTTAAACATCCAATTATTTATCAAACTAAATATAGTTCACAACACTATTCATACATATTAATTCTAGACATCTTCAAATAAACAGCTTGTTTATAAAAACTGACAATCGTACACTGTCGTAGAGGAAATCACTCGACAGCTGTGATTTTAAAAACTTTTTCTGTTAGAGACTAAAAAACGCATTGCTCTAATAAGTTTATAGAGCAAAAGCTATTTAAATGCAACAGAAAAATTACGCAATCAACAGTTTCGGTTGAAAAGGGGGCCATTTGGCAGATACGAATATAAAGATGCCTCTCCCAAAATATTTACACTGACAAAGATGTCTTTTATTCCCAAATTTAAAATACTGCAACTTCAACTCGAGATTGAGTTTTGCGATTTTTAGGTGACTAAATTTACCCATGCAGAGTTGGGTAAAATCCCATTAATATAGATTTGTAGAAGGGATTCAAAAGAGCATACATATAAAAAATGTTTGATTTGAAAAAAAATTTAATCTTGTTTAAATTTCAATTGATCTTAACTTAAATACATTTTAAAATTGAAGATTTCTCAGAAAAATTTAGTATAAACGAGCAGTTTTACTACTGAAAGAAGAAAGGACTTTTTTTCGATAAATGGTAATAAAAGAACATGCATTTTCCGAGAGAACAAATTACAATTTTGAATATCGAGCTTAAAAAATTATTGTAAAAGTATATTCATTTGCCTTACGTACTAAACTCTCTCTCTCTCGCTACCTCTAAGTCACCGAGTTGATAGTATACAAGTATTTATCCAGATATTCAGTAGAACGTCGTTTATCCGAACGTTTATTATCCGGAACGTCAAATATCCGAACCAAAGTCCGGATACGTTTTCGAACTGTGCAATGCTCAACACTTGTTTCGTGTGAGGCCAAAAGGGACAGGAAACCCCAAGGAGAGGGATATTTGGGGAATTTCATTTGCGCGATTTGGTAAACATCTGCGCGGAATATTAGGTCAGTTTGTTTCCAAGTGAGGGGGTGTATACGTGCTCTTTTGTTGAGTTTTGTTGATATAGATACCTGGAAGGGGCATGCGATGCAGAAGACTGTGGATTTCAAATGCTAAATAATTACGAGATTGTGACTTCCGTGCAAGAAGAATCCGACCCTGTCGATGATGAAACGGATGAAGACAACAACAGCAACAACGGAAGTAGCAAGGGTCCATCAAACGCAGACGCGTTTCTGAGTTAAAGACAGTTATGGAGTGGTACGAATAACAATCTGAGTGTTGTCCTACTCAACTGCTGCCGAAGAGAACCAGAGACCTTCCATTGAAAAAACGAAGGTGTACAATGGTACAGCGAAAAATAAATGATGATTTTCCCCAATCAAGGTAAAATTGCGACATTTTGCAACTATTTTGCTTTTTCTTCAAGCAAGTTTCCCGCATATGATGATTTTCAATATTTGTATAGTGTCCAGTATCATATACTGCATGGGTCGCATTCGGTTTTCGGTTAAACGACGTTCTACTGTAAAGCATATATACATATATATCAACATTAATTCTGAAGTATTTAAGGCAGGGTGAAATGTAATTTACATATCTCAAAAGAGGCTTATAATTACTTAAGCAATGTCCTACTTAAAAGAAATTTATGAAATCCAGGCATTTCAGTTATAATGAACGTTTAAATAAGCGTTTTAAATTACACTTTCATATTGTTAATCATTAACTCCTTATTATATGTTATAAAAACAGCTGTGAATTGAAAGATTTAAATCCTAAAGTTTTTCATCCACTTGTGAAAGCATTTTGAAGTGTTCTTCTTAAACCCTTTTTCAAACGAATGTTAGACCCTCTGCTTGACACATTCATTTCATGTGGCTCTCGTCCTTGCTAACTACCAAGGTTAAAAAATGCCTTCTTCCGGAAAGGGTTTAAATGGCATGACAATTTTTTAGCAAATAAAAACTGCACTTAATGAAAGCATATTATCATGGGTTTCTTTATTTCAAGCAAAGTTAATGCTTTTTAAATTAAAATATATTGAAGAAACACATTAGCCTCCATTTTTTCTTTCCTCTAAGGTTTATTTTTTTTTTATTAGTCTCGCAGTCATAAACCTTTGCTCTTAGAAAAAAAACTTCTAAAAATTCAATCTGTAATATTTGCACACAAGAACTATGTATAAAGCTTCACTTTCATTTAATTCCTTCGTTAAATAATAATATACTATTTATATATAAAAATTAATACTAAATAATATATTACTCTTATGACTAAAGCAAATATTTTCTCGGAAAAAGTTTTCATTCAAACAAAATTAGATTTCATCTACTTGTAGTTGTAGCGAGGACTTTTTTTTAAATGTATACACTTGGGATCAGTATTAAAATAACATATTTATCTCATTCACCTTTAAAAAGAAATAAAAATTCATAATCGAACAGAATCTGAAACAGATAAAAATACGTAGTAAAGGAGAATATTTTATTATAACTTTTTGAATAAAAGATCCACTATTTTATTCAAATCATTTGAATACTTATTGTTTTGAGCATCGCACTATGAAAAAATACAAGATAGCAAAAACCTCTTAATTTTAATTTACAGTCAAGAGCTTCTGTGGTACCACCCACGACTGGAAGGGGGAGAGGAAAACGCCGGCCATGAGCTTGCACCATGGCATTTCGGCTACCGTGGTCTCTTGGAATACCGATAATAAATAGATTAAATAATAGAATACTTATAGATTATTTTGGGATGTTGGAAACAAAATTAGAACTTTTCATAGGAAAAACATGATGCAAATTCCTATTTGGGTTTTCTTTTTCTAGTAACTTTCATTTGAACTGAGTCTTAAATTAAATGTGATGAAAATTTTTTCTTGAATGTTTAACAGTTTTCCTTGAAACTTTAACTACACGATTATATTTTACAAATGGAGAGAAACTAATTATCTATACAAAAAATCACTACATTTTCTCAGTGAGCATCTATTGGTGGAGCACGATATTTCCCAGATGAAAAACCTGAGAACATTATAGTGCTGCAGCACAAATTAAAGACTACTATACCGATGTTATAAAAATATACGTTTAATTTTATTGTGCAATGATGCAATGTTCATTTTGTGTTCATAAAAAAAGAAGATGAGCAACCGATTCGACTAAGTCATCTTTCAAGTTTCTGTGAAATTTATACATTGAGT